AACATCGGAGATCTCTGTCCAGAAGAGCGCAGTCTTGGGAACAGCTAAGATACTGCGCAGGACACTCAAGCTCCCAGGATTCTGGTAGAGGACCCGAGCTTGAAGGATAAACCGCCCGCAGGGGCGTGCTGGGTGTTTTTTTTTTATATATATATATGAATGAAGCAATTGGCCTGTCTCCAGTAATTTCACCAAACCAAACTGCACAGAGGATAAGTGGATGTTTTTCTATGTAGAAGTGTGTCCTCACAGTCTCACGGTCCAGTTGCTTGTTGACCTTGATGACTCCACTGAGTGGGTCAATGAGGAACTGGTTGTGTCTGTCTCCACTGACAATGGAGTAGAAGACGGCTCCATTCAGCTGACTGTCCACATCATCTGCTTTCAGCTGTAAATACACACACACATACACAAACACACACTGAGTACATATTTGGTTGGGTAACAATTGCAGTGCTGTCTGTAGTGAGGTTTCTATAATACACTGAAGAATAAGTCTGCGACCAGAGCTTTTCACATAGATATTTCTACCCTTTTCAATTTTTGATGTGCTGTAATGGATCTGAAAGTTGCTAATGTTTAAAGTGTAAGACAATATGGAAAAGATGAGGCTTTTGTAACTTAAACTCTTGAAAGAATTGTGTATCAGCTATATGATGATTACAGAGGAACAGTTTATTTTTGTTTTAGTCCTGATTTAAACTTGTCCTCAACGTATCCTTGCATGGCTTCTGACAGTGGACTCATCTTTGTGTTTGTCCTGCTAGCCCTCAGTGTAGTATTCACTGCAGTTAATCATAACATTTTGCTAAAGACTACAATATACCTTCAGCAATAAAAGAAATACATAGTACTTGTTTTAATCATTTCTGATAGATTCAGTTGGTAAATTTAATGAGTATTTCTCAGACAAACAGTTAATCATGGTGTTCAACAGGGTTCTGTGCAAGGATCGATAGTTTTCTTATTACCTTATTTAATACTATCAGAAAACACCACATACATGTAAGTTGCTATTCAATTATACCCAGTTATCTTTATAAATTCATCTATAAATCCCAGATGGCACAAAAAAAAAACTACAAGGATGCTCTAAGGCCATAAAGGTCTTAATGATGTTTAACTCTGGACACTGAAATTAGGACAAAACTGAAATTATCATATTTGGCATCTAGAATTCTCAGAAAGAGTGCCTAACCAGATACTTACAGTAAATGGCATTACCATGGCATCTTGTACTGCTTGAGGAAGCCTGTAGTCGTTTTGACCAATAAAGTGTCCTTTAAATGATAATAATAACAATAATAATAATAATAATAATAATAATAATAATAATAATAATAATAATTAAGACTGACTTCTTTCATGAGCACCATAATGCCAAAATCAGAAACATGTGTCAGAGGATGTTTCTGGTTTATAAATTCTAGGCTGGACTATTCAACTTCCTTGTCACTAGGGTGTCCAAAAATTTCACCGGGTGAAAAAAGATTATAAGATTAGAACACTGATTATGACCTTTCCATGGAAAGGTGACTGGACTCACAGACCAAAATGCAACAATAGCCTGGTCTGGCTTCGAAACATTTTAGGGGGTTAGATATTTTATTTGAGTGACAAGAAGATAAGTGGTGCAATATTGGGCATGGTTCTATGAAGTAGCATTTCTATGGCCCAAATATGGGATTCATAGCTGCTGGAATGCAGTCATATTACTTCTCGTGTTAATTTGTTGCACATTCAATAATCAATTGTACAATGCCTGCTAGCCCAGTATTCCACTGTTATATTACTTCTGAATTTACATCTGTCTGCATGAACAGAACATTATCAGCCTTTCAAAAGGATGTCAACTGTTCCACCAGAGGCAATATAATACTAGACCTGATAGGGTTTAAAGCGTCAGGTTGACAACCAGGATAGAGGCCAAATGAAGTTTTAAAAAATTGTTAAAAGGTTTAATACAGGCTGTCTGTCCAGAACATTCCTCTGCACTGTCTAACAGGCACTGGCACAATGTCGCTCTCTCTGTACTGTCTGGCAGGTGTTCCAGTCAACAAAAATGACACTACCACTACCACTAGTTGAGCAGCTTAAGACAAGTTGCTTGCATCGACAGCACCATTTCCTCCACATCTGTCTCATCATCAGCTACAAACAGTGCATCTTTCATGCCGTTGAATGCTCAACAATAAAACAATGCTAATCCACCATACCGTTACTGACAGCAGGTTGGACTTCCTTTGAAGGGTCCAAGGTGCATGTGGAGGATGTGGACTGAAAGATAGTCAGAAAAAGCAAGGTTCAGGCATTTCAGATTGGAAGTGGCAGTGTTGGTGGAGAAAACTAGATCCAGCGTGTTACCTATTATGAGTGTTTTATTGTCACCCTGGCTGTGCCAACACAGCTCCAGGTTATCTTCATCTACCGCCCCCATAAAGTTTGTACTGTGGTCATGTCATAGTTGTCTGAGATTTTCACCTCTCTTTGCTCTTTGTCTCCAGCCTCACTCCTAATTGGTGACTTAAACATTTACTGTATGTCGACTCCAGTAGGTCATGACACTTCTGTGACTTCTGGACTCTCTCTTTCACATAGTATATTAAAAGGATCATCAGTTACCTCTGAGTTAGGTGGGACTTTTTATGTCTTTGCACGGTTTTCGTAAGTGCATGCGCGAGGTCAAAAATTGGCTCGCAGGTAACTCTCTCATCCTAAATGACAGGAAAACTGAAGTCATCGTGTTTGACAGTAGTATTCCTCGTGGCCAACTCTGTGGTGCCTCTGGTTCCTTTGATAGTTTCCTCACCGACACTCTTAGTGACCTGGGGGGGGGGTTTGGATAGCTCTTTTAATCTCAACAAACAAGTGTCTTCTGTTGTCAAAACTTGCTTCCATCAATTGCGTCTTATTAGCAAGGCCAGACATTATGTCCCGCATAGAGACCTGGAAAAGCTTATCCACGCCTTTGTGAAATTTAGGTTGGATTATTGCAACTCCCTTTACTTTGGTCTTAACTCTACTCTTCTCCATAGACTGCGAATTGTTCAGAATGCGGCCGCTCGTCTCCTTACTGGTAGTGGGCGGCGTGTCTCTATCACCCCTGTCCTTGCCGACTTGCATTGGCTTCCCGTTAAGTATCGCATTCAATTCAAAATCCTGCTGCTCACCTTACAAGTTATTAACAATATAGCGCCAAGTAAGATCATCTTCTCAGTCACTTTTGGTACAGCCAAGATCCCGGCTGAAGACTATAGAGGTGACCGAGCGTTTGCCTTGGCTGCACCCGTTCTATGGAATAACATCCCCATTGTTATCCACGAGTCTGATTCCATTCAATCCTTCAAATTGTGGTTAAAAACCCACTTATTTAGCCTCGCCTTTTCTACCATTTAATGCTTGTTTGTTAGTTAGTTTAATGCTTATTTCTATCTTCGGTCTATTCTTAACTATTTTAATCATTTTTTACATTTTTGACTGTTTTATCCTTTACACATATTGTCCTTTTATGCTTTTATATGCATTTCTTTTGCTTCTGTGTTTTTAATGCCATTTAACCTGCTAGCATGTTTGGTACTTTGCCATAGCTTTCATCCTTCCCTGTTACTTCATCTTACCCTCTTGTTAAGCACTTTCGTACACCACTGGTTTTTAAATGTGCTATATAAATAAAGTTTGTTGCTATTGTTGTTGTTGTTGTTGTCACACGCTGGATCTAGTTATCACCTCCGACACTACCACTTCCAATCTGAAGTGCTTGAACCTTGCTGTTTCTGACTATCTTGGTGTGTAATTTTCTGTTATTGTTCCTGTACCTAGGCTGCGCACTTAATGTACCATTGCATACCATACAGGAAGTTTAAGGCTGTCAGTACATTGGCCCTGAACAATCTGATCGCAAACCACTTGGCTTCAGACCCACCCATCAACATGGTTGACACACTTGTTAACCATTATAATGCGGCCATATCTAGCAGCCTCAACTGTCTTGTCCCCCATAAAACTCGGGCCGCCTCTTTTACCTTCCCTGCCTCGTGGTTCACCTCGCATCTCTGACCTAAAGACCACTGGCCACCGACTTGAGAGGCTCTACAAAAGGTCTGATCTCACTGTCCACCTTGAGGCATATAAAGACCATGTGAGGTCCTATTAAGCAGCTCTCTCAGGCCAAGACTCATTATTACTCTTCCCTCACTCACCAACAGCAAAATCATCCCAGATTGGTGTTCTCCACCATCAACCAACTACTTCACCCCATTAATCCACCTCTCTTTTCAGGTGCCACTGACCTCTGCAATAAGTTTTTGGACTTTTTCCAAGAAAAATTAACTCCATTCATCAATAGCTTCTGGCACCTGCACATCAATTTCAGGACGGCATTCCCTGTAGCACATCTAACTCCATGCTACTTCTCCTCTTTTTCGTCTGTGAATTGTTCCCAGGTCACCAAGTGGGTCTTTCAGTCCACATCCTCCACATGCACCCTGGACCCCATGCAGACAACATTGGTCAGAGCATGTCTACCTGCTCTGTGCCCTCTTACAGTTGACATCAACTGTTCGCTGGAGTCAGGAGTGGTACCCTCCAGCTTCAAGCCACCTCAGTGACTCCTATCAAGGTGTCCAGGGCAGTGACAGTTTGCATTACCTTGAACAGTTTATTGGAGTTAAACCCAGAGATTTGGTAAGAAGTTGCCAGCACATAAATCCTCAGGAAGCCTACAGTGAGGCCAGAAGTTTGCTGTTTAATCATTATAGTAAAGAAATGAGAAGTGCAACTGCCAACATGAACCAAGCATTCAACTAGCCACACATTAAACCGTAGCTATTCCCTGTTTCTCAGTGGTTGTAACAAGACATCAGTCACCTACAAAAGATTGAGAACTCCACTAATCTCAGAGTTATTGTGTCGAAGCTGCCATATAAAATGAGAGAAATGTGCAGTTCTGCCTTTGACATTCAAGAAACAAGTAGAAGGAGAGTAAAGTGTACAGATCTGATCAGATTCATAAACAGACAAGCGAAAACAGCTGCAGATCCTTTGTTTGGCACCATTAAGGATGCTGATGAAGCAAAATCATATGTAAATGTGAGAATGAACAGAGCACCCTGGCCAAAGGGAAGCAGATTTGCAGTGTATCACAAGGTGCAAATGAAAAGCCACCTTAAATTAGCAAAAACTCCTCTTTTCATACTAGTAGTGGCTTCCAAAAGCCATGTATATACTGTATATGTGTATATACAGTATATACTATACGATATTCTATACTGTGAAAAACAGCGTCCTTTCACAGAATGTCAAAATGTCAAAATCATTAGATAAATACAGAAAAAATCAAACAGGTAATGAGTATGGATGTTACAGAAGTGCATTAAAATCCACTAAACAAGCTCATCTCTCACTATTCAGAGTGGGAACGTCTCAAAAGGGCAGTTTTCTGGCTGATGACGTTTGAACAGCTGCTTTGTGGCTTCCAGTCGGCATTAGAGCGAGATGGCTGACTAAACCTGAACTCCCGATAGTAGAGCAGAATTTCCCCCTAAAATTCAAATAAATACTTGATTTGACAACTTCTCTTTTAAACAGTATGTCTGGGAGTACAAAGACGGTAGTCTCAGCACAAGAAGAAGAGCATGCTAGCATGAATATTAAGTACGTGTTACAGTAAGTACGTTTTTATTGTGGTAAAGAGCACGGTAACTAGTTATTATGCCAAAATCAGGAATGCGTTAATCGTTACTGGGATTTAGATAGGGTCGTTATTTGTTACTTCGTGTGGTGGCTATCGCGGAGCTTTCACAGATTCTGTAACATTAGCAAGTGGTGGAGGCCAGCAGGTGGATGAGGGAAAGTACAAGGCGGCCCGAGGCGGACGCCGTCTGAGTGTCAGGTGAACTGAACTTCAGGTAAGAAGTTATGAACTGCAGTCTATCTGGGTCAGATATAAACCAAGTTTAGGTTTAGTTTATTTTCATTATGCTGACTTTTTCGTACTGGGTGCTAGCTAGCATGACGGCGTTTCTTTACAGGCTGGGTGGGTGCTATGATGTTATAGTGAACTTTATTTTCTTCATAAGGTTAATTATTAGAGTTGCCAACCATCCCCTAAAAAACGGAATCGTCTCGTATTCAGAGAAAATATTTCGTATTGAGGTGAAAAGGAATGCAGTTTGTCTCGTACTTCAGCTACAATGAAAAAGACACAAAGCTGGAGTTATTCGGCGTCTTTACGCTGCAGCTGCCTCTTCTTCTCTCATTCTCACCCCTCCCTCTCCCGTTTCTACTTCAATCATGAAACTGATCAATGATCAGCTGATCGGCTCTCTTGTTTGTTTATTGCTCACTTGCGCCAGAAAGAGGAAACCAGCAGATGCCGCGCTAAACAACGGCAGCACGTTTAAGCTTGATCAGCTGTTGTTAGAATTTATTTAATATTACTTTCTAGTATCAGCTGATGTTTGCTGGAGCCACAGCTGTAAAGCTGCTGGTCATGATATCGGTTTGGTTATCTGGTGAGAGGGAAACATGAAGATGAAACCAGGAGATGTCCTTACTGAATCATCAGAGCTGTGATGGAGAAACAGGTTTAACTTTTAGGTGACATGAATGAGTTGAAGGCAAGTTATGAACTGCTTCTGAGAGACAAATAACATAGCTGTGCGTGTTCATGGAGCTTGCATTTTCACCTGCTGGACATCACTACCTGACAAGTTATACTTGCGCCTATACTCTGAGACCTGTGTCTCTGAGTGGGAGACCTGATATCACATTAACGTGTATCCTTGTATTAACAAACATGCCATATTGGCCAAGTTTATTTTTCTTATCATAGTTGTGAGAAGACCATAAATAGCATTTGGATTTTCTGTTGTACAGTTCATTTGCTGTTATGGAGTTCTTGTTATGGATAAAAAGTGTCCTTTTTTTGTTTCAAAATAGCTGATAACTATTCGCTGATAGCTGCCAACATATGTGAACAAATATAATACACACTATATAGAACAACTTTATAGTAACTGTTGATATAGAGCGTTATTAAATTTATTGCTAATGCAATCATATGGCACATTGACTTTTGAGGAAATTTTAGGTGGCACTCGTTATCAGAAAGGTTGCCTACCCCTGCTGTAATGTAATCGGCCTACAAATGCAGCCTCCGATGGATGCAGCCCCTAAATTTGGACACAGCTACGATGCCAGAGACTGCTTCTTCTTCTTTAGCGTTCATTGGCAGCCTGCATCCTTGTACATGCATTGCTGCCATCTTCCGTTTCAGTGCGTTATTACACTCTTCAATCCTACTACTTATTCCTGTGTCTTTCAGGATCTTACAAAACTTCAAACGACGTGTCAACTATTAAATTAGTCTAGTTGCAATTAGTGACTAGTCGACTACTTCAGACATACATGCAGCGAAAACCTGACTAATTCTTTAAACGTACCTGAACAATAGGCTCGCCAACAGTGGCATCCTCTGACACCACTGCAGTGTAGACACTGCGGCTAAACATGGGTGGATTGTCATTTACATCTGTTAGGTCTATGTTCACAGTAGTAATGGCACTCAAAGAGGGCGTGCCACCATCACGAGCCTCTACTGTCAGGAAGTAATCTCTGCAGGTCTCATAATCAAGAGGCTGGGCAACTAAAATGGCACCTGAATAAGAGAAAGGGAAAGGGGAAGAGAAGATAATTATAGACATTCGTAATGGGTTGGAATTTCAAAATGTTAACAAACTGGGAGATTATAATTGCTTTACTAATCATATTGACTCCTTAAAGCAATAAGCGAAATTTGCCTTTTCACACAACACTTCATTTATTTTATTCTATACCTACAATCGATAACGAATCACTCTTACACACCGCCAAATGCACTGACCAGTTGGAGGTCTTGTGCGGATTGTGAGAGGCTGGGAAATGCCTTATAGCGATTGGATCACCTGCTCTACTTTCTGAGCTCATATTGTTGCTATAAATACTTACCATCATTATATAGTTTATACAGCCTTCTATTTAAAATCCTTAAATAGAAGGCATTTAAACATTTGGTAAATTCTAGAAGGACATGTGTACCATAATTAAGTATTTTTTATCCATCCATTTCTGCCACGTATCCAAGTTTGGGTCACAGGGGGCAGCAGTCTAAATATAGAAGTCCCTTACCCCGGCCAACTCTTCCAACTTCCACATCAAGTCACTTCCAAGCCAGCTGACAGATCATTTATCTCCAGTAAGCCCTGGGTTAGGGTAACCCTAAGTAGGACATGCCTGAAACACACCACCTACCAGGTGTCAATGAGGCATTCTTATGCTCAAACCAGCTCAACTGGCTCCTTTCGAAATGGAGGAGCGGTGGCTTACATAAAGTCATTCTCGAATCACCTCCTTTAGTTTTGGGTAGATCAACCACGTTTTTCATGATCATCCTCACCCAATGATCCAAGATCTTGAATGGAGCTCCAGACCAAGGGCAATGGCAAGGAAAAATAATTGAATTGATAATGAAAAATATTACAAGATAAAGAAGATGAAGATAAAGAAGATTAAAAAATATTTGAAATATGCAACCATATGTTCTGGACACTCGGGTAAAGAGAGGGGCTGAGCTGTCAACTGATCACCACCTGGTGGTGAGTTGGATCAGGTGGCGGGGGAGGACGCTGGACAGACCTGGTGCACCTAAACGCGTAGTGAGGGTGTGCTGGGAATGTCTAGCAGAAGCCCCAGTCCGCGATATCTTCAACACACACCTCCGGCAGAGCTTCAACAGCATTCCGAGGGAGACTGGGGACATTGAGTCCGAATGGACCATGTTCAGTGTCTCCATTGCCGAAGCTGTTGCATTTAGCTGCGGCCGCAAGGTGGTTGGTGCCTGCCGTGGTGGTAATCCCCGAACCAAATGGTGGACACCAGAGGTGAAGGGAGCCACCAGGCTGAAGAAGGGGTCCTATCGGGCTTGGTTAGCCTGTGGGACTCCGGAGGCAGCCGACAGGTATCAACAGACCAAGCGGAATGCGGCTCAGGCAGTGGCTGAAGCAAAAACTCGGGTGTGGGAGGAGTTCGGAGAGGCCATGGAAAAAGACTTTCGGACTGCCTCGAAGAGATTCTGGCAAATCGTCACGCGTCTCAGGAGCGGAAAGCGGTGCTCTACCTGCACTGTGTATAGTGCTGGCGGAGCGCTGCTGACGTTGACTGAGAAAATTGTCAGGCGGTGGAAGGAATACTTCGAGGACCTCCTTAATCCCACTGACACGTCTTCCGAGGAGGAAGCAGAGTCTGGGGATGAGGGGAATGACCCGCCAATTTCCGGGGGCGAGATCACTGAGGCAGTTAAACAACTCCTTGGTGGCAGAGCCCCTGGTGTTGATGAGGTCCGCCCCGAGTTCCTGAAGGCTCTGGACGTTGTAGGGCTGTCCTGGTTGACACGCCTCTGCAATGTTGCGTGGAGATCAGGGGCAGTACCTGTGGACTGGCAGACCGGGGTGGTGGTCCCCATCTTTAAGAAGGAGGACCGGAGGGTGTGTTCCAGCTACAGGGGGATCACACTCCTCAGCCTCCCTGGGAAAGTCTATGCCAGGGTGCTGGAAAGGAGAGTTC